AAAGATTACATAAATTAGTGAATGTGGGAAAGAGAGAAGTGATGCAAAGATAATGTGAGATTAAATCCAATCTGAACAGTAAATAACTGTGAGTTGTTATCAAATATCAGAGCAAATAAAGCCAATTAAGTTATTATAATAGGAGTATTACAAACCCGTATATTTGAAAAGCAAATAACACTTAAATTTATTTCCCGTTTATTAAAATTAGATTAATCGTAGAAAAATTGTTATGCAATTGAATTAAACAACTATTGCATAATTATTCAAAATAAATAATAATAATTAGTGATTAAAGTTTACGATAACAAATAATTATAACAATATTTACCAAAGAATCCGTATATAATGACAATCATTCGGCCGGATATGGACTTAGGAGTAGTCATACCAAAACCTATACAACAAATATTCAAATCAAACATTTATTTCAATCCATTTATAATAAAAGTCTATTTCAATACTTAAGAAATCGATAATTCAATCAAAACTTATTTCTCTTTGCATTTTACATATCATTCACTGCTAAAAAAAAGTCTGCATATTATTATTAATTCATCACAAAAAATATAATGAAATAAAAATTTCAATTTCTCCTCAAAATTGATAATCTTTATCATTGGCTATGAAATGGATTTCTATTTTCATTCTTCGCACAAATACTTTCTATCACTTGTTATATTAACTATAATTTTAAGTAAAAGTTTTGCCCAAAAAAATAATCAATTGAAACCAAATTCAATTTTTCTTATCTCTGTCTCGTATTTACTGTTAAATATAAACTACACTTAACTTTCTTTGAATTGCTTTTTATAGGAAACATAAAATTCATTTCAAATGAATTTAATAATCAATTGAAACCAAATTCAATTTTTCTTATCTCTGTCTCGTATTTACTGTTAAATATAAACTACACTTAACTTTCTTTGAATTGCTTTTTATAGGAAACATAAAATTCATTTCAAATGAATTTCACCAGAAATGTAGAAAAAATTTAATAGATTTGACATATTTTTCTGTTCATAATTGTTAAACACTTTTAGTTTGGGTCTTAAATTAAAAAACAGAAATGCTTATCAAATATTAAAACCAATATTTTATATAATAGTAAAATATTTGCTTAAACAATGTATTAATGATTTATATTTCAATTATTTTTGAGCCTTTATTTAACAAAAAGAAAATAACATTATAAGCAAAATACTTATAACAAAGATTTTTCAATATATTTATATAATTCATTAAACACAGAATATTTGCACAAAAAATAGGAATATTCTGAAAATTATTTACTTTTAAAGTATAAAATAATATTTCAAAAATGTTTAAACACTAATTTATATGTAAAGCCTCTTACAAACAGAATATAAGTATTTTTCAATCGATTGATTCCTAATAAAGAGCTTAATTGAGTGTAATTTATATTCATTTATCGGCGAAAATGACTTCAAGTTATATATGTTTTATAGAGATTTATGAGAGTTTGAGCACAAAATTACTTAATGTCTTCGAGAAAAGCGATGATTTCGATACCATTCATTCATATCGGATGAACATTATATGCATTAACCAAACAATGAGCCCAAAAGAAGCCCATTCTCTGTGTGTGTAAAGAAAAAATAGATCTAACGGTTCTGTGATCTCAATATTCAATGCATAGACATGTCGTTACGTTTAAAAATATTAAGCCCTCACTTAAAATCAATACAATTTTCATTTTCGACTCATTTGTCTTCTCCTTCTTCTCTTTTTCCCTCTCTTTTGATAATAAATTATTTGTTTTATTTAACTCTCATTTTGCAGTCAAACTCACATTTTCAGTCACCGATTCTTATGTCTAAATAAATGCCAGAATATCTTTGACCCGATTTTCATACAAATGGAGACATAAGAGTAAAAACAATTTATACAATATTTTCATTGAAATTTACAATAAATGTCAAAAGCATTCAATTTTTTGAATAAAAGCAATTCTATTATTCATTTGATGACTAGTTTTCCTCCACTTTCTTCGTGTATTGTTTTTCACGCAAATCATTAAACAAAACATTTTGCGAGAAAAAAATATAAATTTTATTTTTCTGTTTTGTTTGAACAACTTTTTTTTCATAATTGAATCAACGCTTAAAGTGGAGGAAATAATTTTGAATTACAACCAAATTTGAATAAACATATTATTTTACACTCAATGGGAGTGGTTTTCCTATGATTTAAATGTGCTTTTTCTGCGAAATAAAATTCAAATACATGACAAAAAGGATATATTATAATCAAATTGTCGTTTGTATTCACGAATTAATGAGAATGTGATTAACTATTTGTGAAAAACCATTACAGAATAAGTTAAAAGTCTCGATACAAACTAATCTATGTCACAAATCTCAGACATAGATCTGAATTAAGTCTCTTTTAAGCTCTCGAAAACTCTATCCATATTTTTCGATACGAAAACTCATTTTCTATTCAATCGATTATTTATGACATCAATATAAATATCTAAAACGTTAAGTCATATACAATATAACAAATTGTGAAACAAGAGATTTATTAAATATAAATATTCTGCTCGTAATTGCAAAATAGGATTAATTAAGAGTTCCGTAAGTGTTGTTTGCAATTAAGACACTTTTGAATAAATGATTTTAGAAATGCTTTTAATTCATTGGACTGAATATACGCAAAGATTACACGAAATGCCATTTATTTTTCACTATTTTTAGTATGAATAAAACTTTACACTAAAATCAAAGTTAAAATCTAAGTTAATGCTCGCAAAAAAGGATTTAAGAAATAAACGTTTAATAATTGTCTATCCGTTTGACTACAAAATTTAATATACTTTTCGAGCAAAAATATATTCCCGTGTTTTGCAGCGCCTTTTCAATTGATTTCTAGCGCCTATTGTTTCGCTTTAATATCTATTTATTATATCATAAAATATCTTAAAACAAACAATCCTTGAGTCGAGTGAAAAACCCTTTTAAATATCATATAAAAGATTATTTGCTTTTAATGTCAATATTAAATCTCTTCACTATATTCTGTATTATAAGGAGAAAAGAAAATTACTTTCGATTAAACAGAGATTTAAAGCATTTTTCAGAAAATGTATTATTTATTTGACTTTAAAGCAGAGATAAATTTGATACATATAAAAAAGTGTTGACAATTCATGTGAACGCATATTCTGTAAATGAGATGAAAAACATTTATAATAAATGGATAGTTATATTCCGTTAACACTATTTCATATCATTCAATGGGCAATGATTTTCGCTCACAAATGAATATATTTTAATATAAATTCAGCTGTTTTTGACTACAGAACTGAAACAAATATAACTTATATACATGTATAAGAATTTTATTTTATTTTCTCAACTATAATAGCATTTAAATCCTTTTATATCATTACTCTATAAGACTTCAAAAACGTTTGCTTTTTATTATTATTCTTTCGTTTTTAGGTTTTGTTTTTGCAAAATAGTGTTGTTTTTGTAAACTTACACTTCGGCTAAAGGATTGCCACTGAATACTAAGTTTGGACTAAAAATTTTCTTACACTTCTATGAGATTCACTGTTTCATATCAATCAATAGTTGAAATTATTTTTTGATACTTTCTCAACACTAGAAATGTTTCATTCATTATTGCAATCAAAAATACACAAATATTTTTTGCTATGAATAACACACTAACGAATATATACACAAAATTTGTTATGAATTGAGTCTATTTTATGCAACAAATAACTGAAACATAAAACAGAAGTTAAGAGTAAGTTATATATTATGCAAGAAAAATACGAGTTTTGAAATCAAATTAATATAATAGAAGATTCGTAACAAAAAATCCAATTTTCATATTTAATTAAATGCTGAATTGATATCGAGTTTTGGATCAATTATTTAGTAAATATACATAAATTAGTTTCTGAGACACACTAATGAATAATCAATAAATTTATTATTTATCGCACATAAACTTATAAATACTAAATTCAAAATTTTATATTATTTACAGACTTTTTATTGATTTAGTAAATATACATAAATTAGTTTCTGAGACACACTAATGAATAATCAATAAATTTATTATTTATCGCACATAAACTTATAAATACTAAATTCAAAATTTTATATTATTTACAGACTTTTTATTGATTTGTAATTTAAATTATCACACGGGAAAAAAGTTTTCTATCACGATAAACTTAACTTATACTATATTATTATTAATATCATTATTAATATTCAACATGATATCAATAATAAATGCATAAAATTATCATAATTACCTATAGTAGAAACAACTGTGGCCACGAAGTAAAATGATCCCGATATGTCCCACCGCTGTGTCGGTCCCATAACACCACTTTGAGTCGCGTTTCCGTATTCATAGAGAAGTTCATTCAAATCAGTTTCGTTAATAATATTACGGTATTTGAGCCGAAATTTGTCGTATATTTTCCAATACTTCTGTCGAGCCTTCAGTTCGGCGTCTCTTTCAAGTATATGGAAGAGAATTGCGCCCAAAATCATGTATACTATGAGCACAAGTGCTAACAATAGGAATCGGGAGTTGTCTTCATTCAAATGCAAAGCAGTGCAACACCCGTTGCGGACGCGTCTGGCCATAGGTTTTGAGCAAACGTTTTAAATATAATCGTTTATTACGACAACATTCATAAGACACTCGATGTGTTTGAAGTTTTTGTGTAAACACTATTAACACTCCGATTGTAAAGTGAAGTCTTGTGTTTTGGGAACAAATGATAAGAATAGCGGCGAAACAAATGCCAACAATATTATACGAAATTTGATTTATATTTATAATTTTTGTAATAAAAAAGATTTTAAAAAAATAATAAATTAAACAAAGTTTTCACTTCAAAGACAATTATTATATGAATTCTTTAGAAACGGAATATTCTTTTGAAAATGAATTTTAAACCAAAAAACGAGAGTCAAAAAAGAGCCGAAAGGATACTACAAATGATATTCAAATCTATTCTTTCATTTTCAACACTTATTTAGCATTTATTTAAAGCGAAAAACAAAACTAAGCGTC